TTAAGATTTTTTTTTATTGGGGAATCGGGGAAGGGGAACAGACAAGTTGCTGTTCTTTTGTTCTTCAGTCTAGTTGTGGAGGACGTTGCTTCACTGCCTGCCCCATGTTGGTATTATCATTGCACTCTTCCTGGGTGAGGCAGATCTGTCGCAGGCCATTGGACGGCCACTCACGGTGGCTCTTGACAGCTCACGCCAACTTCTGGCTGCTCACGCCGGCTGCCAGCCACTCACGGTAGCTGATGGCAGCCCACTGCAGCTCCACTGCAGCCTACCCTGTTGCCGGTGACTCACAGCAGCCCAGCTCCAGGTAGAGCTGTTATTCACCATCTTAGCTGTAGAGGGCACAGCGTCACTCGCCCTCATGTGGGATCCGAACCAGGGCCCTGCTGCTCAGAGCCGGCGTCCCAAGCCAACCCTTAACCAACACGCCACTTGGCAGGCCCAAAACAGATTTTAATAATATAAATTTAAGGTGAGGAAAAATAAAAATAGAAGCAGAACTTTTAAGAAATAACAACAGAAAGAAAAGTGATTTAAAAAAAAAAAAAGAAAACATTGAAATACAAGACCAAAAAATAGAGGATGTTCTTAAGAAATAGGAAAAGAAGGGGAAACAAAGGAAACATGAGAAACTCACATGAGTAGATGGTTTGAGCCCTCTGACTGGGGACTGCTTCCTGCGCGTTAGCCCTGTAGGCAGTTCCTAGACTCTCTGTTTCCGTCTGTGCTGGAGCTTTCTGGTCCATGTCAGGTAGGGTCATTCCTGGTCAGGGCTTCAGCTGCTGGCAAAGGCCTCCAGGGCCCAGGCTGCCTTGATAGAGGCACAGGCTTCCTCAAGGTTGGGAGACAGGAAGTGTGGTGTGGTGGGAGGAATGCCAGCGTGGCCCACAGGGACCAAGTCAGTCATCAGAGAAAGCATTAAAGGTGCACATTTATGTTTAATGTAGTAGACTATACACAACAATTTACCATTTAGTCATTTTTAACTGTAAGTTCAAGGGCATTAAGTACATTGATAGTGTTGTGCAACCATTGCCACTGTCCATCTCCAGAACTGTTTCGCCTCCCCAAACTGAAACTGTGCCCATTAAACACCAATTCTCCAACCCCTCCTCCCCCAGCCTCTAGCAAGCACCATCCTGCTTTCTTTCTCTGTGAATCTGACTGCCTAGGACCGCATGTAAGTGGACTCATACAGCATTTGTCCTTTCGTGACTGGCACCCAGTGATGGCTACGTGTTTTTGCTTCCCCTTTTGGCTATGTGAATAATGCTGCCATGAACATGGGTACAGATATCTCTTCGAGACCCTGCTTTCAATTCTTTGGGGTATATGTCCAGAAGTGGAATTGCTAGATCGTGTGTTAATTCTATGTTTAACTTTTGAAGAACTGACATACTGTTTTCCACAGTGGCTGCACCATTTTACATCCCCACCGCAGAGCACAAGGGTTTCAATTTCTCTACATCCTCACCAACACTTACTTTCTGGTTTTTTATAATAGGCATCCTATTAGGTATGATGTGGTTAGAAGTTGAGATTTATTCTGAGGTGTGTGCCCACTTCCCTGCTGCTCTCCTTGGGGATGGCTAGACGATGCCCACCTGCTCCCCCAGCCCCCCACCTTCCCCACTCCTATCTGAAGACCATGACCATGACATAATTACTCCTTTGAACAATCAGAGATGTGCAGCCTGCAGTGGGAGTGTGGCTGGAGCGCTCGCTTCTGACAGTGATGCTGTGGACAGAGAAGCGCTGCTTCAGCACCTGGAAAGTGTCTGGTCTTCCCAGCAACCTTGCAAGGCAGAGAGGACAGAGCTCATTATCCCTAATTGATAGAGAAGGGTACTGAGGCACAGGAAGGGAGAATGATTTGTCCAGGGTCACCCCCTAGGAGGTGGCACAGAGGAGGTTTGCCCATGTCCATTGTACTGTGCTGAACATCAGCCTCAGACTGGCAGGTAGGTGAAGGGCCTGATTTCTGCACCAGGAGGAAACTTAGTGCCCGTGCTCATTGGAACTTCACTCTCTGGGCAGAGTTTGGGGCTGCAAACTAAAGACGAAATGGGTGTGCCCTGTTAAAGATGCTCAGCAAGGAAAGCAGATGAAACTTGTTGGAAAATAGAATTGCAAGACGGGGGTATAGCTCTTAGCTCTGGAAGGAGAGTGAATGAAGCCAAAAGATCTCTCACCATAACCACAGGCTGCCAGGAGTTACTTGTTCCACGTGCATGAGCCTTAATTCCATGGTAATTTATTAGTATATTATAATTTCCATGTAGTCTTTTGGGCTCACCACCCCTTCTCTGGACACTTGTCCCTCACCCCACAGTGTTTACCAGCAGACCAGACCCTGGGCGGGCACTTGCTCTGGGGTGAGGAAATGTGCCTACAAGGCTGTTTTTTACCTCGCCACCTATGTATGGGCTGCAAAGGGACTGACTGTGGGGAGAGAGGTGAGGGCACTGCATGAACCCTAAGACAGACACAGCAACTCCATTTAGGTTAGGATAAGTGGACATGCACCCCCAAAGACAGGAAGTCCAAGTTAGCTGTGTGCCAAAGGCAGGTCCCCTGGTTCCCTCAGGAGTAGGGTCTGTTTGTTTCAGGGCATGAGGCAGAGCCTGAGTTGAGAATCAAGGGCTGCACTTTTCCTCCTGGGAGATCATAGGAGCACCTGGGTCCTGCTGGCTCTGGTGCAGACTGTGTTCCATCAGGCCGGGTGTGAACTGGGTTTGTCCTTTGTCTCCCTCTGTTGGCTCCGGTAGGGATTGCGTGCATACTCTGCACTCCAAGGACACGTGGCTGAAACAAGGAAGAGTGGTGAGGCTTGGAGAAGTGCCCTACAAGGTAACCAGAGCTAGGGTTGGGTGGGTGGCCTGAGGGCAGCAGTGAAGCTCAGGACCAAGGCTGAGTGGAACAGCTGAGGGCAGAGGAGTGGGGACTAAGGGCTGCCAAGCGCATGCCCAGGACAGGATTCCAGGTCTGACTTTTCTGGCTTGAGAAGGATCAGAGGAGGAGCAATGCATTTAAATTATGCCTTACCTTAATGAGGAATTTGTAAGAGATGGATCTTCCAGAGTATGCAAGAAATCTAGGCCCAAAAGCATCCCTTGGTCTCCTGGTATGTGCTTGAAGGCAGTGTAGATTAGAACTGTGTTACTTTGTTCTAAGAGGGCAAAGCCCTGCTTTATGGAGACACATTCACCAGTCATCAGTGCCCTTCTGTTTGATAACTCACTGCATTTTGCATGTATGTGATCTCTACTGAGCCTCAACAACCATAGGAGGTAGCATTGTGATGCCCATTTTACAGATGAGAAAACAGGAGTTCAGAAAGGGGAAATGACTTGTCGGAGGCCTTACAGTTAGGAAAACAGCAACACCCAGACAAGAATCTCAGGCCCAGCCTCTACTCCAGTGTTCTTTTTCTCCCACTGTGTTGCTGTACGGAGTCAGCTGCCCACGAGAAACATGAATTCAGTACAGTACTGCAAAGGCTTGTCACAAGACACAAAGCCCCATTCATCCAGGGGAGGACAGTGGCCAGTCACAGAGACACATTTGCTTTTTGTCAGATCTCAGAAGGAGCCCTGTGAGTTGTGAGACTCTGGGGAGTTGGGTGTGGAGTGGAGAGGCTTAGTTTGGTGGGAAGGGGCAGCAGGTACTGGGAAAGGGTCACTGCCAAAAGCAGGCTTGAGTGCGTCATGCTGCCTGCTTGGACCTGGAGGATCACTGGGGTTTCCCATAGGCCCTCACCTTTCTTTTATGTTCCTTATCAAATAACCAGTCTCTTCATTGTGGAATGGCACTGTCTGATTGAAATATAATGTGAGCCACAGATTTAAATTTTTTAGTAGCTACATTAAAAACTTAAAAAGAAAGAGGTGGAATTTTAACACACTTATATTTGAAATATTGTCATTTCAACACGTAATATTTTGAAATGTTAAGATATTTTACATCTATTTTTATTACGGAACCTGTTGGGTTGTCGGAAAAGTCATGACATATTTTTTCTCTGTTTTTCATTGCAAAAATGCGTCATGACTTTTCCAACAACCCGATGGTTTTTCACTTTCAATACATCTCAGTTCTGACTAGCCACATTTCAGATGTCTGGTGGCTATCATGTTAGTGCAGTTCTAGCATAATCCCAAATCTCAAGCCCTCCTCTTGTTCTGAAAGCTGCTGTCCCAGCTCCAGCTCCTGCCTTGTCTTCTCTTGAGATCACAGCACCTTCAGCCCCCACTCATTTCCAACATCGTAGTCATGGGATCTTTCTGAAACAGAGTTGCGTGTGACACCTCCTGGGTAGCCCACCCTCACCCCACCTCGAGTCCCATGTCTTTGATGTGACACAGAGACCTGTGATGCTGTGGTGCCTGCCGCCTCTCCAGCCACACTTCCTCTTGCATGCCAGACGACCTCCACAGTCCCAGGCTGCTCATATTCTCACACTTCCATGTCCCTTCGGCCCCAAACAACTTTCTTCCCAGCCCTTTCCACTTGACCAATCCCTCTTTCCCTTTCAGACTCGGCTCAGATGGGGCCTGTTCTGAACAGCCTGACTTAACCTCTCCCTTCTCAGCGCTGGGTGAGGGGAGGGCCCTGCCTCTGGGCCCCGTTCCACCCTGTACTCTTCACACTGAATTGTAGCCCTTGTCTCCCTACAGGAACCTGTGCTCCTTAACAAAGACTGCCCCTTCTCTGCCCCCAATGACTGGTGTCACAGTGTGGTCTGTAATAGATGCTTATTGGATCTTTACTGAACAGCACTGGATGAATGGCTTCCTCAGAAAGGGGGACTGTCAGCCCCCACAGGGGTGTCAGAGGTGGTATGCCCAGAGACCATAGCAGGAATGGCCACTAGAGCAGCAGTCGGCAATCTACAGCTCACATGTCACATCCAACCTGTTTTGGTGGGGCCCTGGATCTCAGGATGGTTTTTTTTATGGATTTTAAAAAGAAATAATATGCAACAGGCCCTTTACAGAAAAAGTATGACCCTTTACAGAAAGAGCTTGCCAATGCCTGCACTAGGGACAGCTAGTACGCCCAGGCCCAGGCGCCAATCCGTGGCCCATGGCCGCGCCACTCCTCCTTGTAGAAGTGATGCAATCTTGTCCTCTTTGCTAGTTCTCCACGCCTTCCACCCCTTCACTCCCTACTGAAAATTGTGGTGGTGTCCATTAGACATCTGTAGGGGAGCATTCTGGGGGTCCCAAACTGTCAGTGCCTTCCAGGGTGCATGCCACGGTTACCTGAGTTCAAATCCTGGCCCTGTCACTCACCCAGCCATGGGATCGTAAGTGAGTGACATCATATCCAAGCCCCAGTTTCCCTTTTAGTGATGAAAGTATAGAACATAGCATGTAATTCCCTTTATGTGTGGTTTTGCTTTTCGCGGTTTCCGTCACCTGAGATCAATTGCAGTCTGAAAATACTGAGTACATATAGAGCCCTGAGCAGGGTGCCTGGGACAGTGAGCACTCTGGAGATGCTAGCTGATGGTAGGAGGAGCGGTACGAGTGGTGACAGTACTGTAGTCATAAAGGGGATAAAAAGCACACCCGTCTGAGGTTTGCTTGTTTGTCTTGTAACAGATGCAAAGCACTGAGCACAGGGCCTGCTATACAGTAAGCGCTCAGGAAGTGGTAGCCTTTGTTGTAAACTGGCTGTTCCCTCTGGTGTAGATGGTGAAAGGCTATTCCAACCGGGCCCGGAAAGCCCGCCTCGCTGAGCCTCAGCTGCAGGACCACAACGACCTGGGCCTGTTTGGCGAGTGGCAAACAGAAGAGTACCAGCCGCCCGTGGCTGTGGACGGCAAGGTGAGGGCAGCGCTCAGTGGGTCAGGACCAGGCTGCTTCGTTCTGCAGCTGGCCAGACCTGGCATGCCACCCTCTGCAGGTCCCCCGGAATGAATTTGGGAACGTGTACCTCTTCCTGCCCAGCATGATGCCTGTCGGCTGTGTCCAGCTGAATCTGCCCAACCTGCACCGTGTGGCCCGTAAGCTGGACATCGACTGTGTCCAGGCCATCACTGGCTTCGATTTCCATAACGGCTACTCCCATCCCGTGTGCGTGAGGGGCCTTCCATGGAGGCCAGAAGGAGGGGCGGGGAGGTTACAGTGGAGGAGGCGGGAAGTTGATGTGAGGTTGGTGGGGGGTGAGGCCCAGGGGCTCTTATTTTCCAGGTTCTACTCTGAATTTGCGAAATCAGCCTTAATACTTTACCTTTTACTTTTATACCTTGACATTTTTATTGTGGCTTCCATCCAGACACCACAAAACCAATGAAACCAGCATCCTAATAAATTTGTATAAATTTTTTCTGGGGGCGGTCACGGGTGACCTAGTGAGATCAGCATCATCCTAGTTGCCGACCTCTGTCCTGCATGCAGTGGAGGTGAGCAGGGTCTTTCATCCCAGCCGGTAGGCAGGGCCTGGGGAGGAAGCAGCGCCAGAGTCCACAGGCCTTCCTTCTGCATGGGTGGTGTCTGTTAGCAGCTATGGTCGGTATTGTGGTCCCGCTGACCCAGGAAATCCTTCAGGGCGTCAAGTCCTTAGGAGCAGCTGACTGTCCTCCACAATGGGGAGAAAAAAAGGCCCGTGCCACAGCAGGCTCAAGGAAGACCACCTGTGTTGCATCCCCACAGAACTGACGGGTACATAGTCTGCGAGGAATACAAAGACGTGCTCCTGGCTGCCTGGGAAAATGAGCAGGCGCTCATTGAAAAGAAGGAGAAGGAGGTGAGTAGCCTGGCCAGGGTGGGCCTGGGGGTTGGGGCTGAGGCGGGAACACAGAATGCGGAGAAAGCAAACACACAGGGCGAGCAGGCGCCTTACGTGCACCAACTGTAAAAGGGCGTCCATGTGCTCTGAAGCTTTCTGTCTCCGCCACTCCATGGATGGCACTCTAGGGAGCCAGCACTGGATAAAACGGTCCTGCCTATACCTCAGAATCACTGCCGCTGTCAGCTGTCTGCTTGCATCCCAGCCCCAGGGACCACTGCCCTAATACCTGCCTCGATTAAAAGGAGCTGTCTGTGGTCCAGGTCTGGACAGCCTCCTCCCCTTAATGTTTTAGAGTCAGAAACAAAAAGTTTTTGTTCTGGGTGCCTTTCTTGTATATCACTTTATAAATCACTCCAATTTTAAAACTGAGAGTTGATATAATTGAGAAACTTTTTTAATCTAAAATGTTTTCTTGCATCTTTATACACACACATGCACGCACGCACGCACGCATACACGTTCGGTTCCATCTTGATATTCTTCCTGAAAATGGCAGTTATTAACATCTGATGCTTTCCCATTTCATTTTTCCTGCAGAAAAGGGAGAAGCGGGCTCTGGGGAACTGGAAGCTGCTGATCAAAGGACTGCTCATCAGGGAGAGGCTGAGGCTTCGCTATGGGGCCGAGGTCAGTGTGGGCGCTTTGTGAAGTGGACAAGCCCGGGGTGGAGAAGGGGGGACTCAGAAATCACTGGCCCAGACTCTGCCCAACATCGTCATCCATCTGTCAGCTTTATGTTTTGATGACACAGACCAGTGTCTCCAAGGCCGCATGTCTTTACTTTGTTGGGAAAGTGTTACTGGAGTCAGCCTCAGCTGCCTCTTCTGGCCTCCGGCTGTGCCCCGACACCCCCTTTTCTGCTCCTGTGTGCACGAGTGAGCAAGTGCCTGCTGTGCATCTGCTCTGGAGCTAAACCCATACAGGGAGAGACAGGTTCCTATATTTCTGTGTTTGACCCTCTTACTTAGCCTCGCGATGCTCCCAATGCCTGCGACCATCCTTCAGGCCAGGAGTTTCTCATTTAGTACACCTCTCACAGCACCTGCCCTACGATGTGGCAGGCCAGCCTCTGGACACAGGTGCGCATTTTATACGCAACCCCCACCTGGGACAGACAGGCCCCTAGACAGCTGTGATGAGTGCTGGGTCAGAGACAGGAGAAATGTGCTCTGGGAGCAGCTGTAACCTTGCCTCTGCAGCCCACATGCTGCCTGTTTGCCTTTAAAAAATATTCTTGTCATGCTTCTCCCTCAGATCCCTTCAGTAACCCCATGCCCTGGCTCCATGTTCTGACTGGTTCTTTCCCGCTGCTGTGCTTTGCACCCTGAGCAGCCACCCCAGTTCAGGCAGTGCCTCCGCAGAGCACTGGGTACTGAGTACTGAGAGCTGGTGCTGTGCATTGGGGCAGTTAGACATAGGCACTCCTGCTCAGAAATGAGGTGATAATGCAAGGCATCGGGCACAGTGATCTAGATTTGATTGTACGCTCCCTGAGGGCAGTGTCCTGCCTAGACATCTTGGCGCTCCCTCAGCTCATAAGTTACCAGTACCTGCTTGGATGAGCTGCTAGTCTGAGGAAGGCACCGGAGGACAGGCTTTGGTCCTCCCCCAGCCCTACGCAATGCCCTTGTCCCCCTAGAGCCACACAGCTCCAGGCTGCCTGTTGCTGGGAGCTTTACTGCCTCGGGACAGTACTTCATGTCTGTCTGGTCACTGACTTGTGGCCTGCGTTTCCCCTCCACTGTCCCACCTCTCCAGAATGAAGCAGTAGCTCCCCACGCAAATGTGGGAGGTGGACTTTC